ATTTTTTTCTTTCAGGATGTTTATGTAATGCACAGTCTAGCCTGTTGCATACTTTCCTGATTTTGGAGGTAACAAATTAATAGATTTTATTATATTGATATTTTGAATAACTTCTCATGTGACATTTGTTACAAAGCCAAAGAAGCCAGACAGAACCCCTGATCAACAGTTATCCAAACACAAAGTTTTTGTTGGGAAGAGGTCAGGGAGTGGGAAGCTGAGAATGGGGGACAAAGTTGTAAGTGGAAGAAATGGACATATATGTTAGAACCAGCAGGAGTCCAGTAAAATGTCTAGGTTTGGTTTTACAAAGGACAAAAATATGTTAAATCTGTTGATAATTAGTGGTAGTGAAATAGAACAAAATGGTGATCAGAGAGCAGAGTGATTTTTTCTTCATACACTGAGAAGGCAGAAGTAATAGCTTTTTGCAAGGTATTGTACAACACAGAGAAAGAGAAGATTCCTCCCCTGTTTCATAGGGTGTTGCTGTGAGCTGCTGTCTTATTTTTTCTTACTCCAGATGAACAATGGTTCCTCCATTAGAAAAATAAGAGCTTCATGTAAAATAGTATTTTGATTCCTTTTATGAGGTTTTTTGGTTTTTTTTGTTTTTTGTTTTTTGTTTTTAGAATATGTTATTTTTAATAATGAGCATTGGTTATAGTATCCATGTCTAGTGCATCCATGGTGATGATGGACTTGAAGATGCTTACAAAAGTGAGAGTTTTCAGATTGTGTTTCTGTTGTATGTGGTGATCTCGTTGAATGTAAAGGTTGAAATCTGAAATAGCTGCTGCAGACTGTTGGGTTTGCTGACATCTGATTCTGCTCTTGTGGGTGACTCCAGAGTGTTAAGAGTGTTTTGGCAGCTATGGAATGGATCAATCCAGGATTGGTACCTATAGCTGGGTGTCTGGATGCATCTGTCTACAATCTAGGTGTTTAATCTCCCATTAGAGTCAGTGGAGATTTAGTTAAAGTCTGGAGTTTTAGATTATTTAAAAGTAACTGATTCCCTTTGGTCATCTCAATATCTCTACAGCCTTGACTGACCATGCCACCAGATATCTGTGACTGTCATGGCAGTTAAGGTGCCTTGCTCACATGCAGAACCTCAGCAAAGCTGTCTGTATCTACCATAACATCTTTGTGTTTCTATATATCTGTCCTATGTGTTAATATAAATTTGTCTATTTATAAGGTACTAAAAATCCTACTGATTTTGTCTAGATACCTGAAAAGACCATCTGGTTCCTTGAACCAAAATTGTATGTGGTGTATGTACTTCAGTGTGGCTGAGTACTCCCTTCCTTGAACTGCTTGGAACTAATTTGGTCCTGGATGTTTTGTTTTTGTCGTTGTCTGACCTGTGTGTAAAATTTATTAAAATTTGATTTTGCAAATGCCCACTTAAAATGAGTTTTGACAAATATACAGATTGACCAAAACAAGCTTTGGGGAACAGAGCTCTGACTAGAGTATAATAATTCCAGTCCTATAGTGGTGAATCCCATGGTAAGCACTGCTAAATGTTTAATTATTTTTTATTATTCTTTACTTATTCATATTAAGATGTTTCTTGACTGATGTTAAGCAGATAGTTATTTGATTTTGTGCTTTCAAACAAAATCCTGCCACAGGATCCTGCCACATTTTTATTCTTTATTCCCATGTCAGAGAATCTACTGAATGCATACTTAAACCAAACTAAGCAGAGAGTTTACCCCTTACTTGTTTTAAATCCAGATAGTAACAGGAAATATTCAGTGGCTATTGACAAGGGAGTGGAGAGAAATAATTTGAGACTCAGAATTGGTTACATGCTAGAACTAGAATGAGACACAAATAAAGACATTTTTCTGTTTATGTTCCTACTAGTTTTCCAGATACACACCATAATTCTTATACATATATATATGTATAAAATGTGGATTTGAAGAAGAGAAACATAATTACGATGGAGTCTTGAGTCTGTCTTATCCTCCACATATGATGTTACAAAACCAAAGTACCACAGCTGGACTTTGGGTGATCAAAAATGCAAATTGTTTTAAAGACTCGTTGGTAACCAAAAGTGTTTATTAGATGGGAGCAATTAGTTTTGACATGAGTCACAAAGGGCAAGTCAGCCCATAATGGGTCAAAATTTTCTTCCTGTTTTGTGGACGAGAACTGCAATCATGCAAATTGCTGTCACGAAAAAGTAATGTGGTAAATTGAGGCCAGGAGTCATTAGTAACTGAATACTTCCAGTGATTTGCCTTACATCACTTCAGTGCTTTTCGTTATCTTGCCACCCCTCCCCTTTTGTCAGTGATTGAAACCCAAGCAGAATAATTGAAAGTAAATCTTTGCAGGTACTCTGCTAATCCCCAGAACAACTGTGGTATTTGTGAATATGTGAGAAGGTGAAATTGCTTCATCATATTTGCCTTTTCCCAGGCTGGTAGGAGAGGCAGACCCATACCTGTCAGCATGCATAAACAAGTCAATGACTAGGATCAGAATCCTAGGAGTTAACAGTAACTAAATTTGTGTCCTCTGGTGGTTGGAAAAGAGTAATTATTAAACTAGTAAACATAACCAAGACCTGCAGAAACAGCAGACACTCTAGTGCAGAGCTACAAAGCATTAAGGCACTTGCAAAATTCTAGGAGTGACTGATCTTCCTGTTGACATACAGTTATGAGGAGGGTGATGCCAGATTTACTTGATTATTTGGTTTGTAGTAGTGCTTCATCTTGCCTTTAAATTCTTCATAACAATCAGTGGGTATGGAGCTAGAGGGCTGATCAGTGGTCAGATCACCTCCCAGTGAAGTTTGTTTTGAGCAAGTGCAGGTCCCTGGTTTTTCTAAGCACGTAGAACACGGGTGGTCACAAGCAGAATTAAGGATAGCAGCTACCCCAGTTCTGTCACTAGTGGTGTAATTTTTTGAGAAATGTGTATTAAATGGTTCCTAATGACCAAGGCTTGCTGTGCAAGTGTGCAGGACTCACTGTCAGCAAAGTTAGTGAAACAATGTCAAGCAACCTGCTACAGTTTGTGGTATGATACATCAGACGTTTTGTACACCGGTGGTAAGTCAAGTCAGGATAAATCCATTTCAAAAGATTCCTTATAAAAACTCCAGGAAATCTGGAGGTGCATTTGAAACCCAAATGTTTCCCAGACTCTGCATTCTATTTTCATATGGAGTTTCACAGAAGAAAGAAATCGTTTATGTAATGGTATAAGTTTTAAGTTCTGTGTGATTTCTGTTACTTTCTCATTGTGAAAAGCTTACTTTTTTTTCAAGTTACTTGAAGTTAAGTTCTTTTTTGCAGTTATTAACACTGGAAACAAACATCTAGAAGGAAAAATGGATCCCTTGTTTTGGCCATCAGAAGCTAACACCTTTCGACGTTTCACCCCCGAGTCCTTGGCAGCAATAGAGGAAAGAATTGCTCAGAAGAAAAAGCAGCAAGGCAAAGTCAAACAGAAGAGTAAGGACCAAGATGCTGAAGAAGAAAAACTTACTCCTCAGCTTGATCTGAAAACCTGCAAAAAGCTGCCATCTCTGTATGGGGATGTTCCTGTGGAGCTTGTTGGGGAACCCCTTGAGGATTTTGATCCATACTACAGTGATCACAAGGTTAAAACTTTCAAAAGGACTTTTTTTTAAAAAAAAAAAAATTGTCTGTTGAACTCTTAAGAGATAGCAAAAGCTCCAGTCAGAAGGTGCTGGTTTTTAATCGTTCTGTAGACAGAGCTTTAAAAGTTACTAGGGTTTTTTGGGGCAGGAGTTCAAAGCTATGCTCTGGGGTATTTCAAGTTCCAGTCAGCAATCAAAATTGATTATGAAAATAGGATACACTTGGTAAATACACTTTGATAGGAAGTATATTCTAGGCTACTGTAGGCTTTGTTTTGTTTTCCAGAGCAGTTTCTGTGATGCCTGTGGGCCGAACTCACTGTTGTATAAACAGTGGCTGTTATACTGTAGATCACACCAGAATTGCTGATTTACTGCACAGGCTTTTGCTGAATTACAAATGCACAAATCAGGGGAGACCTATTTGAGATACTTCCAGTAGTCTGTGTAGCAAAGACATATATTTTCATTACAGTCAGTTAATTTTCTGGTGTGTCTCATCAGCTTTGTTTATTGTACCACATTTATATTGCATAGACTTCATGCTGTTGCAAAGTGGTTTGTGTTGTTGCCTGTAGGACTGTGTAAAGTAGATGCTCTAGGAATCCCTTCTAAATGAAATGCCTATTATATAATTGCTTACTGTTGGGGGGAAGTTGACCTGAGGAAATTTTTGGGGAAAAATGTTTCATATACTATGATTTATTTTTCTTAACAGACTTTTATGGTGGTAAATAAGAGGAGGACTATTTTCCGTTTTACTGCCACTCCTGCCTTGGGTATAATTGGTCCTTTTAATCCAATCAGAAAAGCAGCAATTAAAATTCTGATCCATTCATATCCTTTTATTGGTTTCCTTTATTTCAGTCTTAAAATATACTGTTCCATTTTCTGTTTTTTCTGGTCTTCTCTTCATGCTCCTATAAATGTAAGCTCATGTGCCTGTGATAGAGATTTTTTTAAAGTTATATTGAATCTTGTTTTACAACAGCCAAGATATTTACATGGTGTTGGCACAAGTAAAAATGTCAGAAAGCTCATATTTAAAGTCAGATTTCAGATATTGTTATGAAACAGCATTTAGAGCCTATTGCATGGTATTTTAGCCCTTTTCCAGAACTTTTTAAAAATCTCTACTATGGTGACAAGCTTATTTAAAAAAACAAAACAAAGCAAAAGAAACAAATAAGCAAAAATAAACCCCAAAAACCAAACCTAAAACAAAACCAACCAAACCCACAATAAAACCAGTGACTCCTTAGTTATTTAAAGATGACGGATGTGACTCACAGTAATGCTTTGCTGAAAGAGTCTGATGGTATCCTAAGAAATGTATTTCAGACTCCAGTTCTGAAAAGCACCCATTTTTTAGATGTTTGCAAAAATATATACATACTTTGAAGGATGTAAAAATGTGAAGAATGGCAGGTGCAAAACCATAGGTGGATTATTTTCTGCTCTTTTTTGCCAAGCATCTGTTTTCCTTTGGAATTATTAATTTTTAGAAATACATCCTTTTATGGGAACTTCTGGCTGACTTTGAATGCATATTCATGCTACTAGAAATTGCTGAATTTGCTGTTCAGTTTCAAATAAATGTTAAATTTGAGGCCAAGGTTTGTTTCAGAAAAATAACTTTTTTTATTAGATAACAAGTGAACTTCCACAACAGGATGTTTTTTCTCATGTATGTTTTTATTGCCTGCCATGTAAGATGAAAAAGTTTTCTGAAGGCATGGCAGAGTGTAGGTGTCTCTTGTAGTAATGCGTATATGGACCCCCAGTTTAAAAAAAAATAGTGGTTCTTGATAATTATGTTTTTAATCTGTTTTCCCTAGGTTTAAAAACCCCAAGTTCTTATGCAGTTGTTGCCCATTTCTCTGAATTCCATGCTTCAACTGGGAAGAAATTAATGTTTCTTAAGTGTCAAATAACAGTAGAGGACTCAGAATTTTGTATTTCTTTATGTTCCTCATCTCTTCTGTGAAGTGTATTCTGCCCCATTAATATCCTAACTACCAAAATTCTCTCCCCATGCAGCTAATTGTTATTTTTAAATAATAAAGTTTAAACAGCTGAGCAGAAGCTTGATCTACCATCTGTTTCTTTGGAAAGCACAGGAAAAAACCTGAGCATATTCAAACCCAAAGTAATTACTTGAATATGGGTGGGGTTTGGTATTTTTTTGTGTAAATCAGGTTTTATAATACAGCACTTTTTCCTTAACTTATTATTCACATTGTTTGTTGGCTTTATTACATGTACTGTGGTACTCAATTGTGCTTCCATGGCTGTAGATAAGCTTCCAGACTCACTCAACTTCACTGAGTAAGTATCTCATTTGCCATTTGTTCCCTCTTTTCCTAAGGATACTAACACACTGGACTGAAAAATTGAAGTGATGTGGTGATCTCATTCTGGGGCTTGAAAATTCTGTGACAGACCTCTGAAGAAGATTTAGGATTATTATCATTATTATTATTATATCACAAGAGTCTTCTGTGCACCTTCAGTGCCCTTTCTTAGAGGCCTGCACCATATGCCCTTTTCTCTAAGTTGGCTAATTTTGCCATCTGGTGTAACATAGAAGATTGCCCTAATTTTCCTTTTAAGGATTAAGCCTTTTAGAGAGACTGTGCAGTAGTTTCCTAACTTAATATCACTCATTTCAAGACTGTAACCTGAGTATCTGTTATGGCTGGCTCATGCAAAAAGTATAAGGGTAAATGTTAATTCCATTTTTTCTTGCCGTTTCCTGGGGACACTCCTGGTTAAATTGCTCACACTAGGAAACCATCTGTTTATAATGTCTTGTTACCTTTTGTAATTGTGCACTGTGTATAATTTCACTTAATGTTCTAGAACTAAGTCTTGAAAATGTGCCTGAAGCCTCAGAGGTTCTCTAGTTTTAAGTCCTCTTATTTTGGGATAAGCATGGGGGTAATGATAGCTTAATTTTATGTTGGGTTTCTTTCAGTTATAGTGTATTTGTCAGAATAAATGTATAAAATAAGCAATCTTTAAAGGCTAAAAGAAGTCTGTTATTTTGCTGCCAAAATGCTGAGGCTTTGAAATTTTCCAGCAGGCTTTAGAACATAAACATGATCTTCAACATTTTTCATAAGCTGTCCTTCATCCAGAAATGGTGTGGTGTGCTTATGTGAATATCTGTGGTTATAACTTTACATTTAAAATTGACATTAAAATCTTGTGGGTTTAGATTTACACTGAAATCTTACTAAAATGCAGGAAGGAATCTTTCTATACCTGTGATGTTTCTGAAAGTAATGTGACCTGTTCTATTTTATTTCACATTTTCTGTCTTAACCTCCATCCAGTGACTAAATCATAGGAAATGTAAAAATGGCCTGAATATGTCTGAATGTCATAAATGTTTTTATTTCTGTAACTTTAATATACAGTTGCCTTTGCAGGTATATTTTTACTGGCATATACACTGGGGAAATATTGATAAAAGTAGTAGCAAGAGGATTTGTTTGGAATGAATTCACGTTTCTTCGTGATCCGTGGAACTGTGTGGATCTTGTCGTTATTGTCATAATGTAAGTCAAACTCAGTTGTTCTTTTATAGTCAAAGGACAACTGTGCAGATAAAATTATATTTGATACTGCTGAAGTTCTTCAGTGTGGTTGGCATCCGACCTGCTTAAGAGTTACTGTGGTTGAGTCCCATAGTCATAGACCTTACAGCAAGACCTAGATGCAAAGCTCATCTTAGAGCTTTCTTACTTTTACTCTGGATCAGAGGAAACTCATTTGAGAAGGATCCAAAGTGGGTCACAGGTGTTGAATGACAGGGTGATAAATAGCAGATGAAATCCCAAGAATGTAAAGTGATGCTCAAAGTAAATCAGACCCAGCTTTACAGACACAGTTATGGGCTCCTAAATAGCTTTCACTTGTTGGGAAAAAAATGTTGGAGTTAAGATGGTCAAGCTTGTGAAAACACCACTCCAGTGTGCAATCACGGTCAGAGAAGGAAAAATAAAAGAAGGACATTAAAGGTAAGAAATAAAGAATTAAGAACCCCACATAGTTATTTCACTGTGTCCTGTATTTTGATTCAGGATTATATGGAGTTTTGCTCCTGACATCTCAAAAGATGACAGAATTTAAAAAGATACAGAGAAGAGGTGTATCTTGTATCCTACATAATAATAAACTATTGAAATGGAGTAGAACTCTTGTCAAAAAAAAAAAATGCAGAGCAGGGGCATGGTTGAAGTCTGTGGCACAGAGTCAAAAAGAGAATGAGTAATTTTTTGTGTCCTACAGTGAGAGCTAAAGGCACCAAATGAAGTTACCATATGGCAGAATAAAAAAGAAGGGAGTAGTTTCTCACTCTACATGTAGGTATATTCCAATAGGGGGCTGTGGCATTCACAAGGCTTCTGGGCAAAATCCTGGATGAAGACACATGAAGGGTTATTTTTAACAGAGATACTATGTCTTGTTAAGGAATTTTCTGAGCTATAAATTGGTTGGAAGAATTAAATCTGGAAAGCATCAATGCCTTGATTCTAAACTCCCCTGTAAGTGTCCGTTATGGGTCATGCTTGAAGACAGGGCAATAGGCCAGGTGGATCATTGCTATGATCAGTGTGGTCAAATTGATATCAAAACCAATTAGGTAGGTGGACAAGAAATTAAGAAGAAGCCAAGGAAAAATGTTGTCAAATACATAACATTAATCTCAAAAGCAAAATAATCAGCCTAGCAACAGTGAACAGATTGACTCATGTCCAGCCCAAGGTTTCAAAGCCAATCTCTAATTTAGCAGTTCTAAATAGCTTTCAATTGTCTTGTTCTAATTTATTAGAGGTTTAGAGTAATTTAGATTGGAAGGAACCTCTGGAGGTCATGTGGTCCAGCTCCATGCTAAAAGCAGGGCTAATTTAAATTAGGTAGCTCAGGACCTTGTCCAGTCAAGTTCTAAGTTTCACAAAGCATGGAGATTTGACAACCTCTGAGCAACCTATTCCAACCACACTGTGGGGTGTTTTCTTCCAAGTTTTTAATTGAATTTTCTTGTGCAGCAAGTTATGTCTGCTGCCAGATAATTTCAAATTATTGAAACTATTAAATTGAAACTAATTTCATTAGCTCCATACACTCAAGTTCATAGCTGACTGTTAATATAACCTAGAAAGACAGAGAGTTAACATATTGTAAACCTAGTTGTCTTCAACTCCCTTCTTCTAAAATACATATTGTGTAGTTCTGAGATGGCTGCAATATGTACTTTCATGTGGTCTAAAGCAGTTTAGCCTTAGTACAAGAAGATTTGGTTGTGACACTGAAAGTTTTATACTTATTTGGCATTTTGATAAGTAAACACTTTGAAAGTTAAGCATCCAAATCCACACTAAGTAAAACGTGCTGTTTCTTTTCAAAAGCATGCATGAAATGTCTCATTATTTTATATCAATATCTAGAATGGGACTTAGATTCCTAACTTCAGATCTTTACCTTAGGACATATTTTACCAATTTTATGTAACTTATTCTTTATTGTGTGCTCAATATGCATATGGTCTGAAAAGCTGGAGCTTGGTCCTTCAGTGATAAGGTGGTTTGATTTTTGTAGGTATGCTACTGTGTGTAAACCTACAGGCAAGGTTTCAGCTCTTAGAACTTTCAGAGTACTGAGGACTTTGAAAGCTATTTCAGTAATACCAGGTAAGTAACATGTCTTCCTACTTTTCTCTCTGCTTTAGCAGTATGCTGTCTCTAATTCCTCTCCTGTTTGTGTCTTCAGTTTCTTGGTCACTTTTTGTGATGGTTAATGGTGTCCAAGGTGTGGCTGCTTTGCAGTCTGTAGTAACTCTCAGCAGCATCCTAACAGAATGTTTTATCATCTTTCTCAAAATGATTTTGATTTGGGCAAATATTTATATTTTCTGCTTTTCCTGTGCCATTGCTAATATTCAGCTTTACTTAACCCAGTGCTCTTGTCTTTCTACTTTTGTTTTACCTAAATCAGCACACCTTATTCAATACATTGTCTTAACATAATATGGCTATGCCAGCAGATTTCTGGGTTTGCATTGTACTTCATTAGCTTTTTTTTAAACTGGTGACATCTGTAAGGCATTATCTTCCAAGACAGAATTCCCTGAGGTGAGCAGAAGCTATCCTTAATTGTAATGTTTATTTAGCACAATATGAAGTACTTGCTTAATGTTAAATCAAGCACAGAAATCTGTCCATATCCATTAAATTTGTAAGAGCTTGCTTAGATGACATCTTACTTTAGAATTTTCAAGTTAGGAAAGTTAGTGTTAGAAGGAGGTAAAAGCCAAATAAGTTATTATTAGGAAATTGAAATAAAAATACTCACCCCTATGCTTTATTTTACCTCCTTTAATACTCTGAAGTTACAAAATAATTTACACTGATTGTATGTTATATTGTTTTTAAGATACTTGCAAGTATCGTATGTTATCCTATGGAAACACTGCTCTAGTCCTCTTCTCACTTTGCATATTATTGAATCTTATTTTTCTAGGTCTGAAAGTCATCGTCAATTCACTTGTTGAATCTGTTAAGAAACTGACTGATGTGTTGCTCTTGACTGTTTTTTGCCTGAGTGTGTTTGCTCTAATAGGCCTCCAGCTTTTTATGGGCAACTTAAAATCCAAATGTGTCCGCAATGACACTACATATAATGACACATTATGTAAGGATGCCAAGACATACAATCCAAATTATGATGGTAAACTTTATTCTTTTCTCCCTTTACATCATCTGTGTGTCTTCCCGTGCATGTCTTGTTTTTTTTCACAGGGATGTTGAAATGTCCTTGCATGTGTTTCTCACAAGAAGGTTTGTCCTTCCATTTGCACAGTAGCAATATCAAGTCTGGAACAACTGAATGTGAGATGAGTGAATCATAGAATGGTTTGGGTTGAAAGAGAACTTTAAAGGTCCTCTGGTTCCAACCCCCCTGACATGGGTAGAGACACCTCCCACTAGACCAGTTGCTTCAAGCCCCATCCAACCTGCCCTTGAACACTTGCAGGGAGGGGGCATCCCCAGCTTCTCTGGGCAACCTGTCCCAGGGTCTCCCCACCTTCATGGGAAAGACGTTCTTCCGAATATCCAATCTAAATCTACCATCTTGCAGTTTCAAACCATTCCCCTTTGCCTGTCACTAAATGTCCTTGCCAAAATCCTCTCCCAAGCTTTCCTGTAGCCCTTTCAAGCACTGGAAGGTGCTCTAAGGTCTCTCTGGAGCCTTCTCTTCTCCAGGCTGAACAACACCAACTCTCTCAGCCTGTCTCCAGAGCAGAGCTGCTCCAGCCCTCTGAGCATCTTCATGGCCTCCTCTGGACCTGCTCCAACAGCTCCATGTCCTTTTTTTTGGTGGGGGCCCAAGAACTGGACACAGTACTCCTGGTGGGGTTTCACAAAAGCATAGTAGAGAGAGAGAATTACCTCCCTCAACCTGTGAATCTTGGGTTTGAAGAAAGACTCTGTGGGATAGAAGGGACTGTGTTTTCTCCAAGTATTTGCTAATTTATATATGCACTGGGATCCTAAAATTAGGTACTGCAAAGAGAAATATTTTTTTCATCAATCTCTATAATTCAGAGTTTTTTACCTACTTCTTGCAGAGATCCTTATTTTCACTGGAGATCAAATGAAATATTTCTTTGTGAGTTATTCAATTAAGATGTTAAAAAACCATAAATGCCATAGGGACAGTTTTGCTGAGAAACGGCCCTATATGCCATGTGTTGTAAAAGGAGCCTTACACAGAGATTTGCTCCATGAAGGTATTTTGTTACAGGTCAGCAATGTGTGGTTTGCTGTCAGAGTGCTGTAGCAGCTGTCAGCTTCTGATTTTATGATTCCTTGGGTTTGTTTTTTTAAATCAGATATCTGCTACAGAATGAATGGATCTTCTGAAATATTGCTCTGTGGGTTCAGTTCACAACCTGAGTAAGTGATGAAAACAGTTTTAGTACTTCCTTATTTTTTTCTCCAGATATACTGGGGGATTATTTTTGGCCTAAAGAGACAGTGATGACTTTTTCAAGAGAGTGGAATACATGTGTCTGGGGTTGTTAAATTAAAACCCAGATATTTCACATCAGAAAAGGAATTCTTTAAAGTCCTAGGATGCAAGCAATTATATATGTGCTTTGTTGCTTACCAGTGGTAATATAATGTTAATGTAGAATGATATGGGAGGAGTATGGATACAGATCAGTAAAGAGGTATTGAGATATTAATAAACTCTCCTCATCTTGGTTAATTATTTAAAAGAAGCACATTTCCATTTTCCCCCCTCTCTACGTATTTGTTTGCATCTATCCCAGATGGAGAATTTCTGTCTAGTTTCTTTGCCTAAATAAACAGCTTTGTAGGATTGTCTGATATTAATCAGCCCTTCTGGCAGAATGATATTGGGGAATATAATTATAAACATACAGACAGATGGAACAAATCTGAATTTGCTGGTGTGTGCTGGATGTTTTCAGGTGCAATCTCATACTGCAAGTAAGAACTGTTTAACATTTCTTTTCTGCTTAGGAAAGAGT